CGCTTAAAGTCTATGGCATTTAATCTGTATCTGTAATTGAACCATTGGATTTTTTATAACCGATTGCTAATCCTTTATAACAATGAAATGAAATCTGTAATAGTAATGTTACGTATCTGCTCGTTTGTTAATTTCAGGTATAAATTGTTTCCGAGGAACTTCAGTCCTTTCTTAGTTAAAACTAGTTTATTCTTTCTTGATACAACTTTTTAGTGCACAGAATTTCCACAGTCACTTTAAACTTAACTACTTTTATAAACACACGCTATAATTCACAGCAATTCACACACTTTACTATTTGCTTGACTCCGTTATCTATCTCTATATCTATCTATCTATGCAATTCTATCTTTTACCTATCTGCCCGATCGCGCTGATTTTTCTCGCCAGGCTTATATACTAAAAAAAAGAGGGCGCCTCGAACAAACTAGAGTTGCCAGGAAAATTCTAGAAACTCCAGCGCGCATGCTTCCAGCGTCGCGTGACTTCCGCTGTCGTAACAGTAATATAATTTTTAAATTGCTGGTAACAATGAGTTATCCTTAAGGTCTATGACGTTCAATTTTTAATAGTAATATAATTTTTTGATTGTTTATAATCTATAACCTATCGTTAAGGACTATGATGTTAAATATATAATAGTAGAATTTTTGAATAGTTAATAACTGATAGTAAATTTTTAACAATAATGATCCTAAGCCTATGTTATCGTAATAGCATACTTGAATTGATGACAACAGATGTCGTATATTTAAGTGATAAAAATGATATAATATTTGAATTTATGATAACTTGTGATATTAATATAATATCTAAGTTGTTGATAACTGATAGCACACTTTTAACGATAATGTTATTTATTCTATATTAATAATATAATTCTTCACTTCTTACAACCAAAACCATATTTTTACAAAATGTACTACTGTATGTCTATACAAAGTCACAAAATTTATTTATATTCCTATAAAAGAAAATAAACAGAGGCTTATTACCCCAGTCCTTTTTGAAATAACATTTTATCAGAAATCACATTTAAGACTTCCTTTTTTCTACTTTTTAAATTTTAATGTAACTTTATGAGGTAATTTTACGATTCTATAATCAATATATGTATTTTTGGCGTTTGTATTGTATGCTATATATATATATATATACATTCTTAAACTTTTAATGTAGTCAGATTTTCATTTTATTACTACAGAAAGCATTTGTTTCAGGAATTACACCCAAGTATGCGTGCACGCACATATTCCAATTTTTTTTATAGAACATTTTAAACTTTGTTTCTGGTTTGCTTCAGTTTATGGAAACAATTCCTTCAGAGGTAAATCCTGCACCTAGATGGCAGGAAAAGGACATGGATGGACGTATAACCCACTACGTTCGCAGCATAACCTACGGTGGCGAAATGATTATTACTATTCGATTTGTTGCCAAGAGTTCGCGATATCTCGACGAAATCAAAGCCAAAGTCTCGGTGGCGATTAGCATAGGTGATGTAAAAGGTAATAATGAAATTTCCTAGTAAACATAATTAAAATTTTAAATAACGGCTGTTAAGAGTTACTTGTAATCTTATATTGTTAAATAATTGCTGATAAGGGTTACTTGTAATTTTAAATTGTTAAATAACAGCTGATAATGGTTACTTGTAATCTTATATTGTTAAATAACGGCTGATAAGGGTTACTTGTAATTTTACATTGTTAAATAACAGCTGATAATGGTTACTTGTAATCTTACATTGTTAAATAACGGCTGATAAAGGTTAC